ACTGTCTAAAGAATGTGCACTGTACGTAATGGTGACTCTTGTTGTTGGTTGTAGGCTCCTCTTCGGTTTTAAAGTCTTCTCAAGGGGAACTCAATTATTCTCGTTTATGCCGCCTGCTGATCAGCATAGGCTCACGAGTGCTAAGAGACACATTTGATAGCATAATTCCACAGGAGAATCTTCGAGAATTGTTGAAAAATGACCCGGCGCATTCCAGACTAAAGTTACTGCGAAAGAAAGGAGTCCTAACTTCAGTACATTGGAGTAAATTGTACCCAGCCACACCCACTGAATTGTCATCTGCAAGCTTTGATATCGCCCTCTTGATTGTGCTTCTAAGGACAATCTGTAATCTGAGTCCTCCGCCCGCTGGCTGGGACACACCTCCTGTTACAGCAGACACCAGTCGCGAGTCTGACATTGCGCGCATAAAGTACTTCATGAACGCCATGTCCAAACATTCCCCGGAAGGCTCTTGTAGTGATGCTGTATTCAGAAGGTACTGGCAGCATATCCGTGACACACTGCTACGACTGGGTGGAGCTGATTATAAAGATCTTATTGATGAAATGAAAGACCAGGATACTGATTTCCTCGCTGAGGAACATTTCAGAGAACTTCTCAAGCAGTGGAAGAAGGTAGAAGATGACATCAAAGAGAAACTGAATGAACTGGAAACTGAAGAAGCTTCTAAGGAGGAAGGTATGATTTACAGTAGACCTTTTGCAGCTCGGATGTCTCTATTGGATACCATCCTCAATTATCAGAGATTGAAACAAACAGTAGCGGTTCTGCCCATTTTTAGGTTTTAAATGGGGAAAAACTTTATGTATCAATGGAAAAAGGCGCTGGATCGAGGAATTTTTTTCATATTTTTAAAACCCTTGTAATTGTGCAGCCATTCCAGCACCTATAAAATCATAGTTTTATGGTCAACCGTAAAGTCGTAATAATAATGTCCTTTTTACCCTCGGCAGTATTTATAGCACTGATGCTAGTAGGGCCGAGCAAATGTAGGCACTTTTTCAGTTTTAAAATCCACTCCAGGGAAAATCAATTATTCTCGTCCATGTCGTCTACTGATCAGTATGGGCTCACGAGCGTAAAGAGATACATTTGATAGCATAATTAAACCACAGAACCTTCAAGAATTCTTAAAGCGTGACCCGGCGCACCCTGGACTGAAGTTACTGGGAAAGGAATCCCCAGTATTAATACTTCAGTACATTGAAAAAAAAAAACAACAACAACAACAACAACAATAAAAATAGGGAAACAAAATTGAGTATAATACTAAAGCTAAGAAGAATCTTGTAACGAACGAATGGGAACACCTAAAAAGGAAACTTTTCCTACCTTTGTCTTTGTCACAAACCGAATAAGACTGAAAGCCTTAGTCTGCTTTACGTAAATACCGTGTAGATCTCCAGAAGAATTGTTTGCAGCCCGCCCTCAATTAACCCCAAGAGACTTCGCCTGCTGCTGGTCAATATATAGGAAGTCTATTCCAAAGAACTGCTCCAGAAAAACTATTTTTCTTAACATTTTTCTGGGGTATAGGAATAGCGAGTTTTCTGTGTCTCTTAATAAGTAATTAGAGATATTGCAACGTTCTGCCCTTGCTACGATCTACTATGCACTTAACAAGGCCCCTCAAGGTACTTAAGATATATGACACTCGCCTCATACACTCGCCTCTCACCGCTCTTTGACGAAATGTTCCTAGCGGCAGATAGCGATGAGAGGAAGCTGTATCGCAGGCTTTTGGACACAGGGCTTTTCTACTATTTACATGGGTAAACCGGTCGCTCCACGGTTTGGGCAAATGGTGAGGGAAATTCAGGACTGATTAATTTTGATTCCGTTCGGTAATGGCGTTTACCATTTGCTCAAGTCAGTTTCGTTTAATGAAAAACGGCCGCGAAAGCTTGAACTGATATTCAAAAAAGGTTTAAAGACATGAAATCCGAACTTCCGCCTGAAAGTTTCCAACCAGGAAGACCAGGAAAATAGGCGAATGCCTTTTCAGACGTTCCGTTTGTTTCAGGAATTTTCCACTGAAACGTCGAAAGCAACCCGAAACTGAGTTAATGGTAAGCCTGGCAAAGCACCAAAGTGTCCTCTTAGTTTGTTTTAATGGGTCATGTATATAGTCATGGAGTAGCTTCATGATTCATACACGTCGTCATACAAGTATATAGGCTCCTCTTTGGCATCCACCTAGCTTTTTTTCTCAGTTTTGAGAGCCCGCAAGGGTAAAAACTTCGAAAAGAACTATTGCACCAATACTTAGTCTAAAATATTTTTATTCTTTAAAATTGTTTCAAGGAAATTAGTTTTTATAAACCAAATTGCATTGATTGGGGATGATTTAATTCGTAAATATCTCTCAATGCAAAAATTCATTCAGTAATCAGTTTTAGTTGTTAGATTTTGTTCTGTTTATATACCATTTTTTCAGGGAAATCGCCAGTCTGAAACTGAACATGAAAGTGTGTGACGCTATCCCAGGGACCCTATATGTTGTATCTGAAGAAAATGCTGCAATCAATGAGAATCATAGGTTTACTGAACGATTTAATTTCGAATTGGCTTTTAATCTGTCTTTAAGTAAATTGTTTAAAGCATATCTATAGGCAACACTGGCGTGACGGGCCGTGTCACGCTATTTTTAACCACTGCAATGTCGCGTTTTTTTGCAAAATTAGGGTTGAACTCAACGTCTCTTGCGGGCTACTTAAAATCGTTTGCCAAGAGATTTGTTTCGATTTTCTGATAGATTGGGGCCTAGTTAAGCAGTAGAAAGTCAATTTTCGGAATTTTAAGTTATAGCGCATTGTAAAAATTTGCATTGTTTTATCCCCATAATTTTGAACGGTAGAAATGGTCAATAGGGCCTATTTTTAATAAACCTTTTTGGCCACAAAATTATTACAGCTTTCACAAATTTATCGTATTATAAGAAAGAAAGGGTCATAAAAACTATTCGTGTTTTTCAGAGGCTGCCAAATCGTTGTGGTTTGACGAGTCAATGGAATTTGTGTAAAATTTCGCTTTACCGGAAGTGGATCTTGAGCTCTGAACGGGCAAAATGCGTTTTCTCGAATTTTAACAAAAGAACACGTTATTTGGGAAAACTAACTACAGCATGTTTCATTACTCATTAAGGGTTATCGATGAGCCAAAAAAGAGCGAAATCCGAATTTTGAACTTGTGCCGACCGTGGGTCGATATTTACGGAAAGGCGCTCTTAATACGCTATGAATCTGGAGTAGTACGGACGCTAAATCCGGATATTTTTTATCCGGTGACGCAACAATATCGAGCCCAGTTCGTTATCGTGAAAGGCAGAGAAAGACGAAAATTTCAAATTTGGTATCAGGCACAACACCCAATTGAAAAATACAGCCAAATACACAAAATACAGGGCGGGGAAAGAATAGGCGGAACACATCACCAAGTCCGTGATGTGAAAAGGGCTAGTACGACACAGGCAAATATTGGAAATTTTGCCTGCATCAAACATTTTGTTACATTTCTTTGCCACGGTGAGGTCATCACTGCACGACTTCAACTTCATGCAGGAGAGTACATTTGTACTGAAGCGAGGTGAAATAATTGCGATAAGGATTAAAAGAACGCAAATGCCCTTTTTAAGGGATGTTTTCAACCTGTCGCCATCCTGGTATCTTAAACTCCTACTTGAGGAATTGACTCCTGGCGGGAAAAAATTACTTCCGGTCACCGTACTAGACGCTTCTGTAGCCCTGGCTTATAGCCTCTAATTATTAGGGACCTTACGATCTGTCGACGGCGACGGCAACGAGAACGTCACAAAAGCAATGGGTTTAATAACCAAAACAACAATTTTGCGCGTGCATCACGTTTTTTTGTACATTTCTTTGCCGTCACTGTATGACTACGACGTGAAAATGCCTAATTTCACGTTGTACAGAGGAAGTACACAAGCGATGACGAAATTTCCTCCCTCTTTCTGAACTTGGATATGGTTCTTAGGAATTTATCTTTAGGAGGGTTCGCCTACATTTCACAAAATCAGTGACTTGAAGTAATCGCGATGAAGATTGAAAGAACGCGAATTCACTTTTTCAGCGACGTTTTCTCTGCCGTTGCCTCCTCGGATCTTAAGGTCCCTAATAGGGAGCTTAAGCAACAACGACGTAGACGGTTACAAAAACGCCATTTAAAAAGTGAGGTCGCGCTGCTTCAAACTTTATCGCACTTATTCTACCTCGTTCAGTTCGTCAAATATTGGCAATTTCTACGGGAGTTGAAGTCTAAAAGACTGTATCGAAGTTCAGGGAAAGGAAAAGGAAGTCGTTGTCTTGTCTTCATGTCCTCCACATAACGTGGAATTAGGCTTTTTCATGTTGTACTCGTGCAGTTGACGGTGAGAAAATTTACAAAAACGTGTGATTCACGTGCAGAGTCCTCGTTTTGCCAATCTAAACCTTTTGTTTTTTGCCGTTCTCGTTGGCGTCGCCGTCGTCGTTGCTTAAGCTCTCCAATATGCGAGAAAGTACGGGGCGTGGGACGAAGTCACGCGTGTCTCCTTCGCGCGCTCCGTTCTTTCTTGCATCCACTACTTTCAAGTGCCTGCTACGCTGACTACAATCGGCGACAAAATGAGTTGAGACACTTCGCCCAAAAGTTTGTTTTTTTACGTTTTATAAACTTCAAAAGGAGGAAATATAGCTTTCCTCCCCCATCCCCTCCGTGCAATGTTGTGCCCTTGTTCTAGCTACCTATAGAAAACAACAAACACCCCAACTTTGAATGGAGCGGACAGGGGAGGGGGTGCGGATTCTTTTGTTCTCCGAAGTCACCCTATTTAAGTACAATGTCTCAACAATTTTGTCGCCGATTGTAGCTAAAATTTATGTAATTGACTGTTGTACAGTAACTTGGAAAAGCGGTGTTCTATTTTTGAGTACTGTCTAAAGAATGTGCACTGTATGTAATGGTGACCCTTTTTGTTGGTTGTAGGATCTTCTTCGGTTTTAAAGTCTTCTCAAGAGAAACTCAATTATTCTCGTTTATGTCGTCTGCTGATCAGCATAGGCTCGCGAGTGCTAAGAGACACATTTGATTGCATAATTCCACCGGAGAATCTTCGAGAATTGTTGAAAAATGACCCGGCGCATTCCAGACTACAGTTACTGCGAAAGAAAAGAGTCCTAACTTCAGTACATTGGAGTAAATTGTTCCCTGCCACACCCACTGAAGTGTCATCTGCAAGCTTTGATATCCCCCTCTTGATTGTGCTTCTAAGGACAATCTGTAATCTGAGTCCTCCGCCCACTGGCTGGGACACACCTCCTCTTACAGCAGACACCAGTCGTGAGTCTGACATTGCGCGCATAAAGTACTTCATGAACGCCATGTCCAAACATTCCCCGGAAGGCTCTTGTAGTGATGCTGTATTCAGAAGGTACTGGCAGCATATCCGTGACACACTGCTACGACTGGGTGGAGCTGATTATGAAGATCTTATTGATGAAATGAAATACCAGGACATTGAATTCCTGGATGAGGAACATTTCAGAGAACTTCTCAAGCAGTGGAAGAAGGTAGAAGATGACATCAAAGAGAAACTGAATGAACTGGAAACTGAAGAAGCCTCTATGGAGGAAGGTATGATTTACAGTAGACCTTTTGCAGCTCGGATGTCTTTATGGGATACCATCCTCAATTACCAGAGATTGAAACAAACAGTAGCGGTTCTGCCCATTTTTAGGTTTTAAATCGGGAAAAACTTTTTGTATCAATGGAAAAAGGCGCTGGATCGAGGAATTTTTTTCATATTTTTAAAACCCTTGTAATTGTGCAGCCATTCCAGCACCTATAAAATCTTAGTTTTCTGGTCAACCGTAAAATCGTAATAATAATGTCCTTTTTACCCTCGGCAGTATTTATAGCACTGATGCTAGTAGGGCCGAGCAAATGTAGGCACTTTTTCAGTTTTAAAATCCACTCCAGGGAAAATCAATTATTCTCGTCCATGTCGTCTACTGGTCAGTATGGGCTCACGAGCGTAAAGAGATACATTTGATAGCATAATTAAACCACAGAACCTTCAAGAATTCTTGAAGCGTGACCCGGCGCACCCTGGACTGAAGTTACTGCGAAAGGAATCCCCAGTATTAATACTTCAGTACATTGGAGTAAATTGCATATTGCCGCACCCACTGAAGTGTCATCTGCAAGCTTTGATATCCCTCTTATGTCGTAGCAGCTGCGAGAAAGAGAAAGAGAAAGAGAAAGAGAAAGTCGTCAGAAAAAAGAAAGTCGTCGGGACCTTTTTTAAAAAAATAATTAGTGGAACAGACAAGCAACCTTTCAAATTTTGACATAGGTAGTAAATGGACTTAATTGTTGAGGTTGTCATAACCATCTGACGTACCCTTCATATTTCATACGTTTACAAACGGGAATAAATTTCTTGTAGTCAAATTGAAGCAAACGTTTATTCACGTTCATTGTATTTAAACAGGTCGTGATAGTGCAAATGCCCAGACAGACGTAACCAACAGTGCCTCTCAGCAGACGGAAGGCCTGATTGAACACCGTGGAGGTATTGAGGACTTTATCATGATCAATGACTTATGACTTAATATTGAATGATGGTAACGGGCAAAGACTGTTCTTGTAAAGTCCTTAACAATAGATGATATAATTTGAATAATTGAGTGTACCAGAGACCGTTGAAAATGTATTTAATCCAATGCAGAGCATTAAACCTATTTTTGTCCTTCCTAAACTGGAGGTGGATCTCTCTCTTCCATAAAATCAATAACAGTAAACTTCTCACGTTTGTTTACTGCGAAAGTCCCAATTTAGACCTGCAGGCCAAAGTCGGATTCAGTTTCTCTTGCAAACATTTGAGCACAATTTAAGCCAAAAAAGCCACATCAATTAAATGCTTATTCCAACCCACACTGAGACTCATATCAGCCTATGGACGCTAATTAGCCCTAGGTAGTAGGACTGTATTCGCCCTGATTAAGGAAGCCAAATGAGAGACGAAAATACAGTCGAACCCCTAAGTCTTTGCATTTTGGGTGGTCGCTTACAAGAATAGAACCACAGGGTGCCTCTTCCAAGATGAGGTCCGGGCACATCTACTTTATGGAAGATAATTTATTGCATACAATTTCTAAGTTACACCATGTGTAGTTCCATGTTGTCACTAAAGTTCTTCGTATATTCTAAGTAGCATAGTGCACGCAGCGAACATAGAGATCAGAGAATGCGTCAAGTCGTCGCTTACAAGAGGTTAAAAAGAAAAGAAAATTATTCAACTTTCAGGCCCAAAATGTGGTCGCGGTCGCTTACGGGAGGTGGTCGTTTACTAGAGGTTCCAACTATATAGCTTTGCCTGGGAAAGTTTCGCTGTTTGGACAGGAGGTCGCTTTAGGGAGGTGGTCGCACATGAAGGTTCTACTGTAGTACTGTATTTCACTCACTGAAACGGTCCAATTTTATGGCTAAAACAGGTCTTTTTGATTTACAGTGTAAGTATTCTATATCGTTCACAGGATGTGGGAATGGAAACTCTTCGATGTTTGAGAATTTCTGCTCTTTATGTTTTTAACAAGCTCATTCCCCCTTTCCCTGCCATTTGAGTGCTTGCCACCGGCCCGATCTTCAGTGGTTTTGTAGTACGTCAGAAAATATTTAACATTTGGTTGCTGTCGTTTTCTACCGTATTGAAAACCAAACAAATCAAGCTAAGTTCCGTCTTGTTTTTCTCTCTGTTTTAGATTTTTCATACCCAACCGATGTCATAGAAAAGATCCGTCAGCTCTACAGAACACGTGAACAACGCCTCCTGCCTCTTCCTTGGTTAGAAGATTTTAGCTTTCATCTCAATGAAATCTTTACCAGATTAAAAATCGTTCGCAAAGAAAAAACCCGAGGAGTACTTCCTGGCGTTATAACCAATATGACTGCTATCTTTAAGGCGCACGCCGAATGCCAAAGGCCGCGAACAGTTTTGATCGGAGGAGATCCTGGTATGGGAAAAACTACGTATTGTCAAAAGCTGGCGTATGATTGGGCAACTAAGCAGAACGAATGGGACCCATCTTTTCCAGAGATTGAAGTGCTCCTGCTTCTCAAATGTCACGAAATTAAATCTAACATCTGGGAAGCTATTAATGATCAAATTCTTCCCGAAGAAATGGACGATCAAGCTAAGGAATACTTCTTTAAATTCATTCGTGAAAATCAGTCCAAGGTTCTTTTAGTTCTCGATGGAATGGATGAAGCGGATCCTAGCAACCTCAAAATGTTCTTTAACCTTGTCGAGGGTAAAGAACTCTCAGGTTGTTACGTTGTTCTTACATCTCGTCATGAAGTTGGGAAGAAAGTAAGCAGATGCTGTGACACTCTGTGGGAGATTAAAGGATTCAACATGGAAGATGCAGAAAGCTTTATTCATAAATACTTTAAAAACATCAACAAGGAGCTTTTGGCTGAGAAAACTATAAAAATGATATGGCCGCCTTTGCATTCGGCAAAATCTACAGACCTGGGTGAATTGGCAAAAAATCCTTTAAACACTGCTTTATTTTGTGTTATTTGTGAGGACTTGAAGGGCGTTTTTCCAACAAGCAGAACCCAATTATATATTGAAATAGTCAACTGTGTTTTAAGACGTTATGAGAAAAAGCACGGACTATCGAGCAACAATGATAACCTGTTGACCGTGTATGAAAGAGACTTATTTCATCTTGGGCAAATGGCGTTACAGTCGCTTCGGAAAGGAGAGCTGTTCTTTGAAGAGCATGAATTTGCTGAGAAACTTATTGCATTATCAAAGTTTGGATTTCTTTCACTCCAGGCGGCTGGCAGTAAGAGGAAATCTCTTGTGCGTTACGCATTTCTTCATAAAAGCTTCCAGGAGTTCTTTTCTGGATTCTATCTTGCTTGCCAAATAATTGAGGGAGATATTGACTGTGACTCAGTAGTGACTGATCAAAGTCACAAAGCTGAATTAAACCAAGTCTTTTATTTTATGAGTGGAATATTAGCTTCATTAAGCGAGGAAATCGCAGAGTCTCTCGTGAAAAGTATCGCTGTTGATATCAATTCAATAAGTCGTAATCGTTATCCTGATGGACCCTTGTCACAACGTCTTTTATTTGCTTTACGCTGTGTATCGGAACACCCGAGGTTGGTTGGCACCTTAGGGGAGAGTCTTAATTTTACCCGTTTGAATTTTCAAGATGGTTCGATTGATTACTCTGATGTTGCTTCTCTCTCCTAGGCTCTCGCAACCACCTCCTCTTTATCTAAATTCATGTTGTATGGGATCTTGATTGGTGATTCTGGTGTTGCGTCTCTCTCTCAAGTTCTCGTAAAAAACTCTTCCTTAATTTTTTTGTTTTTATGTTGGAACATTGTTAGGGATTTTTTAAACAGGTCGTGATAGTGCAAATGCCCAGACAGACGTAACCAACAGTGCCTCTCAGCAGACGGAAGGCCTGATTGAACACCGTGGAGGTATTGAGGACTTTATCATGATCAATGACTTATGACTTAATATTGAATGATGGTAACGGGCAAAGACTGTTCTTGTAAAGTCCTTAACAATAGATGATATAATTTGAATAATTGAGTGTACCAGAGACCGTTGAAAATGTATTTAATCCAATGCAGAGCATTAAACCTATTTTTGTCCTTCCTAAACTGGAGGTGGATCTCTCTCTTCCATAAAATCAATAACAGTAAACTTCTCACGTTTGTTTACTGCGAAAGTCCCAATTTAGACCTGCAGGCCAAAGTCGGATTCAGTTTCTCTTGCAAACATTTGAGCACAATTTAAGCCAAAAAAGCCACATCAATTAAATGCTTATTCCAACCCACACTGAGACTCATATCAGCCTATGGACGCTAATTAGCCCTAGGTAGTAGGACTGTATTCGCCCTGATTAAGGAAGCCAAATGAGAGACGAAAATACAGTCGAACCCCTAAGTCTTTGCATTTTGGGTGGTCGCTTACAAGAATAGAACCACAGGGTGCCTCTTCCAAGATGAGGTCCGGGCACATCTACTTTATGGAAGATAATTTATTGCATACAATTTCTAAGTTACACCATGTGTAGTTCCATGTTGTCACTAAAGTTCTTCGTATATTCTAAGTAGCATAGTGCACGCAGCGAACATAGAGATCAGAGAATGCGTCAAGTCGTCGCTTACAAGAGGTTAAAAAGAAAAGAAAATTATTCAACTTTCAGGCCCAAAATGTGGTCGCGGTCGCTTACGGGAGGTGGTCGTTTACTAGAGGTTCCAACTATATAGCTTTGCCTGGGAAAGTTTCGCTGTTTGGACAGGAGGTCGCTTTAGGGAGGTGGTCGCACATGAAGGTTCTACTGTAGTACTGTATTTCACTCACTGAAACGGTCCAATTTTATGGCTAAAACAGGTCTTTTTGATTTACAGTGTAAGTATTCTATATCGTTCACAGGATGTGGGAATGGAAACTCTTCGATGTTTGAGAATTTCTGCTCTTTATGTTTTTAACAAGCTCATTCCCCCTTTCCCTGCCATTTGAGTGCTTGCCACCGGCCCGATCTTCAGTGGTTTTGTAGTACGTCAGAAAATATTTAACATTTGGTTGCTGTCGTTTTCTACCGTATTGAAAACCAAACAAATCAAGCTAAGTTCCGTCTTGTTTTTCTCTCTGTTTTAGATTTTTCATACCCAACCGATGTCATAGAAAAGATCCGTCAGCTCTACAGAACACGTGAACAACGCCTCCTGCCTCTTCCTTGGTTAGAAGATTTTAGCTTTCATCTCAATGAAATCTTTACCAGATTAAAAATCGTTCGCAAAGAAAAAACCCGAGGAGTACTTCCTGGCGTTATAACCAATATGACTGCTATCTTTAAGGCGCACGCCGAATGCCAAAGGCCGCGAACAGTTTTGATCGGAGGAGATCCTGGTATGGGAAAAACTACGTATTGTCAAAAGCTGGCGTATGATTGGGCAACTAAGCAGAACGAATGGGACCCATCTTTTCCAGAGATTGAAGTGCTCCTGCTTCTCAAATGTCACGAAATTAAATCTAACATCTGGGAAGCTATTAATGATCAAATTCTTCCCGAAGAAATGGACGATCAAGCTAAGGAATACTTCTTTAAATTCATTCGTGAAAATCAGTCCAAGGTTCTTTTAGTTCTCGATGGAATGGATGAAGCGGATCCTAGCAACCTCAAAATGTTCTTTAACCTTGTCGAGGGTAAAGAACTCTCAGGTTGTTACGTTGTTCTTACATCTCGTCATGAAGTTGGGAAGAAAGTAAGCAGATGCTGTGACACTCTGTGGGAGATTAAAGGATTCAACATGGAAGATGCAGAAAGCTTTATTCATAAATACTTTAAAAACATCAACAAGGAGCTTTTGGCTGAGAAAACTATAAAAATGATATGGCCGCCTTTGCATTCGGCAAAATCTACAGACCTGGGTGAATTGGCAAAAAATCCTTTAAACACTGCTTTATTTTGTGTTATTTGTGAGGACTTGAAGGGCGTTTTTCCAACAAGCAGAACCCAATTATATATTGAAATAGTCAACTGTGTTTTAAGACGTTATGAGAAAAAGCACGGACTATCGAGCAACAATGATAACCTGTTGACCGTGTATGAAAGAGACTTATTTCATCTTGGGCAAATGGCGTTACAGTCGCTTCGGAAAGGAGAGCTGTTCTTTGAAGAGCATGAATTTGCTGAGAAACTTATTGCATTATCAAAGTTTGGATTTCTTTCACTCCAGGCGGCTGGCAGTAAGAGGAAATCTCTTGTGCGTTACGCATTTCTTCATAAAAGCTTCCAGGAGTTCTTTTCTGGATTCTATCTTGCTTGCCAAATAATTGAGGGAGATATTGACTGTGACTCAGTAGTGACTGATCAAAGTCACAAAGCTGAATTAAACCAAGTCTTTTATTTTATGAGTGGAATATTAGCTTCATTAAGCGAGGAAATCGCAGAGTCTCTCGTGAAAAGTATCGCTGTTGATATCAATTCAATAAGTCGTAATCGTTATCCTGATGGACCCTTGTCACAACGTCTTTTATTTGCTTTACGCTGTGTATCGGAACACCCGAGGTTGGTTGGCACCTTAGGGGAGAGTCTTAACTTTACCCGTTTGAATTTTCAAGATGGTTCGATTGATGACTCTGATGTTGCTTCTCTCTCCCAGGCTCTCGCAACCACCTCCTCTTTATCTAAATTCAGGTTGTATGGGATCTTGATTGGTGATTCTGGTGTTGCGTCTCTCTCCCAAGCTCTCGTAAAAAACTCTTCCTTAATTCATTTGGATTTAAGTTGGAACAGTGTTAGGGATTCTGGTGCTGAGTCTCTTTCCTATGCGCTTCTAGAGAACTCCTCCTTAACACATTTGGAGTTGAAGTGGAACGACATTGGCGATTCTGGTGCTGAGTCTCTTTCCAAGGCTCTTGCAAAGAACTGCTCCTTAACACATTTGGATTTGAGGAGGAACAGAATTGGTGATGATGGTGCTGTTTCTCTTTTCCAGGCACTTGCAGTCAACTCCTCCTTAATTAGTTTAAATTTGATGGGGAACAGAATTGGTGATTCTAGTACTGCGTCTATTTTCCAGGCTCTTGAAACCAACTCCACATTAAATTATTTAGATTTAAGGGCTAACAAGTTTTATTATTCTGGTCGTGCAGTTCTGTCAAGCGTTTGTGAGAATAATACCACAGTGTATGTTCCATTTGATGATTATGATTATTTTGAAAGTTTTGAAGATTGTGGGGATGCCAATTGTGATGATTATGCTGATCATTGTATAAATTGTGATTTCGAAAATGGTGGTGATTATTGTGAGATGTCTGATCACGACAGTGATGATGACCATAATGACCGTCAGGACTTTTATGACAATGGTAGTGACAAGGAAGAATACGAATAGAAACATGTAAATATATAATTTTTTATGAGACGGTTACACCACTGACGTGATATTTAAGAGTTTTTATGTCTGAAATCAGTCAGACAACTGATTTTGTATTGATGAATTTTTTTATAAGATTACTGCATGCAGTCCTCTAGTATAAAAGATGGACATTTTTTATCCGATATTAGTCATGATCATTTTGTGTGGTAGACTTTTTAGGGGTTACTTGTGATAGGATAAAATTACATAGACCAGGCGAACTTTCGGACATTCGGAGGCACTGCCTGCCCTCATTAACTTTTGCTTATTAGTTAAGCTGGTGTGAATTTATTATGTATTTCTTATGCAGTTAATAAAGTTGCTTGAAAGTCGCTTTCTCTAAATTACGTACTGTGGCCTATTGGAATCGACATGGCAAGTTACCGAACTTATTTCGTAATTTAAGGTATAGAAAACTATGCACAATAAATGACGTCATAATGCTTTCAGTTTCTGATAAGAAACGTTTACGTGTAGATTTCCCCCCCCAAAAGAAAATGTTATAGAATACACTTTTTGCATGAAAGCACCACAGTTTATCACATTTATTGCAACGATATAAAACAGAATTTTAAAAGAGATTAGCGCAATTATAGTCAGCCCTGCTAACGAATCTCAGTGCTTATTTTTAGGGGCAGTGTCACCAGCATTTTGTGCGACTTTTAAGTGTAGACGAGCGTATAAAGCGCACGATTATCGAAAAGCGAGTGAGCGAAAAAGGGCTCTCTCTTTCCAGCCCACACGCGTTTTTATCGCACTTTTTTCGACGGCCGTTCTTCCCGCTACCTTGGAGCCTGGAACAAGCTAAGGCGCACGAGCCGCAGGCCAGTGTGTCACTGATGTCAACTATTACTAAAAGACTTAATACTTAATAGGCCAGTTTTTAACTTTCAAAAGACATATCTGGCTTTATAGCTGAGGGAACAAAACATAAGAAGCGATTTTTTTTGTTTTCATTTTCTCCTCAACCTCGGACCAATGTATGAATAATTTTAATAATTCGAAACTGGCCTCTTACCCATATTGAAGGCGTCTTTTGTCTTGTATGGTCAATTCTCTCCATATGTTGTAGAAAAGCCTAGAAATATGCTTTTTTAACTACTGGTAACTGAGCGTTCGATTCTCTTCGAA